AGCTGGGCTGTAGTTCGGTTCATGGAGTGGGTGGAAGATTGATGAATGGGGTGCTTGGATCAGTCAGGCCCTTGCAGGGAGCAGATGGCACTTTCCAAGGATTCATTGCAGAGAATATAATGAAGGTACCATGCACAGAGAGTGTGGGCAGGTCAGACGGTGTGACTCCCAAGGACTTGCATCGGTGGGGAGTCGTTATCTCCCCTAGGCCTGAAGGGGCAAGGGAGGGCTCTTGCTAGAATCCGGCCAATGCTGCTACCCTGGGAAAGGAGCTGCCAAAACAGGCACTAGGCCCTTAGACAAGGAACACAACCACTGCCAAAATCAGGGCCAAATATACTGACTTCTCTCCCATCACTTTCCCTCTCGGGACTAATCAAGTCAGAGGCGAAAGACCAAAGGAACCTAGGTAATTCAGTCCAAAGGGGGCCAGCTCCTGTCCCCCACACAGGGGGTTCAGGGGTTCAGAGAAAGTCAGAGAGTGGATGGGGAGAGGGAGCCAAGAGAGATTAACAACCAGAATGCTGCTGAAGGCTCACACCACCGGTCTCTGGCCCCGCCCCCCAGGGCAGTGACCTGACCCCAGAGGACCTGGCCAGAGGTGGGTTGGGAGCTCCTCCTCCAAGATACACACTAACCCTCTCACTTTAGAGTTTGTATCCTCTCCTCCAAGAGCTCTGGCACATTCATTCCCTCCATCCCCACATCATTTCCTGCCCCTCCTAAGTCCACTTGAGGCCAAAGAGCAGGCGGGTCCAGGAGGTCTTCTCAGAGGAAGAGGTGCAAAAGGACTCCATGAGCTGCCTGGAGTCAGTTCAGTCCAAGAAGAAGAGAAAGGGTAGGGAACAAATACTTCTGAAGCCCATTTTGTACCAGATACAAACACGGGTGCTTTCTCATTCATTACTCCCTCCCTCCCATTCATCCAAACATTCTTGAGGTTGACATCAGGGTTTCCAGTTTAGGGACAGGGAGACTGAGGCTCAGAGAGGTTATGTGACTTCTCAAATGTTGCACAGCAAGCGATAAGAGTCAGGATATAGAATCATGTGGGCCTGAGTCCAGGGAAGAATAAATGAGGTAAAAGTTGGTCTGAAAAGATGCAGAAAGGCTGGAATGTAGACAGAGGCTGAACATAATCCCAACCTCAGGGGCAGGGGGCTTGATCAGGGGCTGGTGGGAGTCTGCATGGTTTTGTTTTCTCACTTCCGGAATGGGGATGGGGGAGCATTCCTGGCTCCTGACAAGGGCTAGAACTGGGGTGGGAGGTGTCTAGCTTTGGTTGCCTTTCCTGCTTGTAGGCTTTGTTCTATCATGAGCCCTTGAGGAGAGGTTTTGTGATTGAAGTGGAGGTAAGCTGGGCAAAGGCCCTAGGAATGGGGTAAGAGGACTTGAGAGAGAGATGCTGCTGTCTCCTTGGCTCCAAGAAACAATTTTACCCGGAGATGAGTTTTGGCCAGCAAAGGGCAAAGGAGGGTAGGAGATACAGGATCTAGCACTGTGTACTGGAGGGAAGAGGCAGGAGGTCAGTGGGGCCAGAGCCAGGACAAGCAGTGTGTGTGTATGGGGGTGGGGATGGGAGGCCAAGGGTTGTTTGGTGAGGATGGAAGGGGTGACTTTAGGTCAGTGCTCTCTGGTCCTGGGGTCCAAGTGTGGAGATTCAGTGAGGTAAGAGCCCAGGGGAATTGGGGATGGGTGAGTCTCAGCATAGCTCTTGCTCCAGACTGGGGAGTCCTCTGACTCCTACTGAGTCAAGTCTTTCCCTGGCCTGGCTTTTAAAATAATGGATACCCTGCCCCCCCCAGGCCTTCAGGATTGGAGTGGCCATGAGGAATGGTCCTGGGGAACTGCGTATGAGAGAGAGAGACAGAGAGAGAGAGCAAGAGCGAGAGGAGAGAGAACTTGCACCCAAATGCTCAAGAGGCCCCAGGAGATGGGTGGGGCTGGGAACTGCGCTCTCTGAAATGCCTGGTCTGTTAGAGCAACCCAGACAAAAGCTGAGAGAATAGTAAAAGTTGAAGTTGGCCTCCTCTTCTATAGGTGAGGAGGCATAGAAAGGGGAGTGGCTTTAAGCCCTAAGATCACATAGGGCTTAAAGGAAGAGTCTTCCTGTCCCCAGAGGGCAGGTAGCAACTTATCTTTCCCACCAGAGGGCAGGTAGCAACCCTCATGATTACCTGAAGGGACTGGTGGTTACCTTTGGTCTTAATGTCCACTGAAAATCTCATTTTCCTCATCTTAAAACAGCATTAAAAACAACAGCTCCTTTCTTACAGAGTTGACGGGAGAAGTAAATGACTTAGTGTAGATAAAGAGCTTAGAATAGTGTCTGACACATAAGCATCCAATAGATATTAGGAAATGATGATGATGATAAAAGATGCCACTGTTTTAAAGGGAACGGAAACATCATGTGACACGGAGTCTGATCCTTCCCTGGCTGCGCTGAAGCCACAGGCTGGGCAGCCTGTTCAGGAGGGAAGGCAGAGGTAGTTGCTACTGTGAGGGGTCTGCCTGCCCCTCAGTATTGTGGAAGCAGCAATGGCCAGTCTCTTGGCCCTGTGTTTGCAAACTCCACATGTACTTCTTTGTTTCTGCCAGGAGGTTCCCCGGTGACTCATGTGTGTCCAGACACCTCATCCTGGCTAGTGGTCTGATGGTATCAGCCTCGTAGCCTCCTGGGGCAAGGATCAGTTCTGCATCACTGCTTGCTCAGCCCAGCCTGCTTGGCCCCGAGTGGCATCAGTTGAGACACTGCCTATCACATAGCCATTGGCTTGCCTTGATCTCGGGCTTGCTGTGGGATGCCAGCAGCTGAAATATAGACCATGCTTCCTCTGGGTTGATACACACTCCTCTGGTACTTACACACTCACACGTTTCATCCTGGGGGATCGGCCCTGCTCATATCTCTATTTTGCAGAGGAGAAAACTGATGCAAATAGATTTTAAGTGATTTGTCCAGGGTCACAGAGATGGTAAACAAGGCAGGGAGCTTCAAACACACCCTTAACGACCACGCTATACTGCTCTGAGGGGCTCCTTTTCTTCCTCTTTAAGACCTTAGTGGCCTGGCCAAGGTCGTGTGAGTGAATGAATAACTTGGTTCCTTGCCCACACACTGAGGGACAGCTTTCTCAGGTTGTCCCTAACATGTCATAATGACTCCTACTTCCTCTCCCTCTTGTCTGTGAGAGAAAGACCTCACTGCCCATTTTATTCTATGATTTCTGTCCAGAGGTCTGATTCTCTGCTCTTGTGCCTTTCCCAGATCCAGATCTCTCCAGGCGGCTCCCAAGATGGCTTCTTACCATCTCTCCACCACTCCACAACTCCTCACTATTCATCCACCCCTTCCCACTTTGTACTTATGAGTGAGCGATTCTTCTCACTGTGGAGCCAACATCTGCAGAAACTGTCCAATCAGAAGCCTTCCTCTTCTCCCCGCCCCCAGCACCACAGGTTGGTTCCCTCTGGGGCAGGCATTCTGAGCATAAATAAGTAGGGGTGTGCATGGGGTGAAGGGCTGAATGGGAGAGAGAGGGACTCTGTTTAGAGATGTCAGGCATGAGGAGAAAGGGGTTCAAAGTGAGTTGGGACCACAGAGGCCAACCCAGCATTCTGACCTCTCTTTGTCTCCCAGTTTTGAATTGATAGGTCTTTCTGGAGTGTGTTAAGTGCAAAAGATGCCACTTCCAGACATTCAACAATCTCCTCCCCACCTCCATTTTCCTTTGCGCAGCCTGTGGGCCTTAGGAAGTGGGCATGGGCATTGTTTAGTCGCTGGTTTTTGCTCCAGAATCTGGCCTTGGCTCCACTTAAGCCCAGGCCAGATGGCGTAAGCTGGATGGTGTAACAGCTTTTCCTTCTTCCTTTGTTCCTTACTCAGTTCCACCAGTTCCAGGGAAGGGCCATAGGAACCCCCTGGGTCCCTGAGACACTACTTATAGGATGGTAGAGGGAAGCAGACCACTGAGGCCAAGAACTCAGCTGCCCCAGGTGACCCTCAGGTGCTGGCTGGTACTGCCAGGGGCTCCTTGCTGGGCTTGGGGACCTGGGTGTGGTAGGGACCACACCATTATGTGCTGACTTAGTAGCAACCCTGAGTGAGAGACAGAAATGTTCAACGTGAGATGCTCTGCAAACAGAAGTGACTTCTACAAACCCTACCTGGCTTTGCAAATTGTGGTTGGAGCCTTCAAACGCAATGGGGCAGGATGAGGCAAAAGGAGCCCACCGTCCTGCCCTTGCCTTTTCTGTGGTGTGAATGAGCAATAGATCAAGGATTCAGCAGCCAGTTGGGACCAGCCACCTGCTGGCTATAATAGCACCAAGAGTTCTCAGCAAATCTTTAGTGGGTTTACCTGGAGGGTCTCTGGAGGTGTAGGGGGCCTGAACTCTAGCTCTTAATCCATTCCCTCCACCAGTCCTGGGCACACTCACCTGGGGAGGGAGTAGTTTCTCTGTGTATGCTCCAGTCCAGATGCTGCCTTTGTCTCTGGGTATACATGCGTCAGTTAGAATCAGTTTTGGTTGTGAGTGGCAGAAAAACCCAAATAATAGTGTTTAAAATAAGATCGACATTTATTTCTCTCTCACATAAATGAAGTCTGGTGTTATTCAGTCCATGTTTATTATGATGGTTCTGTAACCATCAAGAACCCAGGCTCTTTCTACTTTATTGTGTCACCAGTCTCAAACATGGCCTTTCCTCATGTCTGCCAGAGCTCCAGTCACCACATCAGTATTGCAGCCAACTAAAAGAAAGAATTGAGAAGAGGACCACATACTGCCCTCCAACCCCCTGCACTGAAATTCATATCCATGTCACATAAGATACTTTTTACGTATCCTATTGGGCAGATTTTAATCATATAGCTGTACCTAGTTTCAAGAGAAGACAAAAAAAAATGTAGTCTTTAGTCTTGGTGGTCACGTGCCAAGCTTAAAATAGGGGTCTTTCTACTGAGGAAGAAGATGGAACAAATACTGGAGCATAGCTAGCTGTCCTTTCCACAGCATGAGACCTGAGTAGCGGGTACCAGATGCTGCATGATTCCCATACACCCCTCCGGACAGCAGCCTGGCTGTGGGGAGTGGGGCTCTGCCTCTTCATTTCGGCCTTGCCTGCAGCTTCGAAGCTTGAGGTCCCTCTTGGAGCTGTGATGGTAGCAGAAATATGATCTCCCTGGGGTCTCCATCAAGGAGAGGATCAGTTTGATGATCAAGGCCAGCCACGCCATCCCAAAGAGAATCCACAGGGACACTGTGTTCTTGTACCACAGTGGGTACCTCCGGGAGGGATCCATTCCTGGAGGAGAGGCAAGGTCAGAGGATGGAGGCCTGGGAAAGTCAGGACCATGTTCCCAGAACAGAAACGGATACACATATATATAATGGAGATATATATATATCTATATATATCTATATGTATATATATATACATATAGATATATATAGATATATATATATACACACACACATATATATATGTAGAATATATATATATATGTAGAATATGGCATACATATATATATGTAGAATACATATATATATGTAGATCTTATATATATATATATACACACACACACACACACACACACACACACACACACACACATATATATATATATGTGGAATATGGCATACATATATATATATATGTAGAATATGGCAAGTCCAAACTGGTCTGAGATTGCTGGCCTTGTGGTCACTTCTGTAGGATTCTGGGAAGTCTCCCTAGGTTGGCACCTTGGGTTTGGAAAATAAATTTCCTCTTTGTCTGAGGCGTTCTGTTTGTGCTCTATTCCAGTAGTTCTCAAAGTAGGGTGCTGGGACCAGCAGCATCAGCACCACCTGAGAGTTCGTTAGAAAATACGAATGATTGAGCCCCGCTCCAGACCGACTGAATCAGAAACTCTGGTGGTGGGACCAGCAATCTCTGTTTTCACAAGCCTTCCAAGAGATTCTGATGCCTGATCTGTTGTTTGCATGTCTCCGTGATGCTTTCTCATATCTGAAGGGAGGTAACTTGCCTTAGTTCTTACTAGCCGTATGACCTTCATTTGTCTGACTATCCCTCACCTGTGAAATGAGGAAAATAATTTATCCCCCTTGGCTTTTAGGATGAAGTTCTAAATTCCTATCTCAAGGTACCTATTTAATTCTTCAGCCTCGATTTACACACCTTTCCCCTTTGAGCGTTATGCTCCAGTCACTCCGATATTTTGCCCATTTCTCCATCGACCACCTTTCTTGCCCCAGGGCCTTTGCACTTGCTGTCCTCATGGATCAAAATGTTCTTCATTTCCAGTTCCTCTTGGCCTGGTTAACTTCCCCTCATCCTTCAGATCTCAGCTCAGATGTCATTCCTCAATGACTAGACTAAGCCACTCTGTTACACTCTCTCATCGTCCATGTGCTTTTGTTGGGCGAGTTACTTTTTATCTCTGGGTCTCAATGTCCTCATCTATAAAATGGAGGCAATGAAGGTTACCACCTTCCAGGACTGTTGTGACTGTCATGCAGGTTCATGCATCAGAAGTGCTCAGAATGGTGGCTGGCACACAGAGTGGTGCATTGGTCAACTGTTGTTGGGTGATTGTTTCACGCACCAGCGGATTCCCACACCGGTGTCCCCAACACAGTCAGGACTGGATAAGAAACGGCTGAGGAAAGGGGTGAATGGGGGTGTCTATGAGGCTTAGATAAGTCATTTCAAGGGCTTGCTCCATAACTTAGTTCTTTCCTGTTTCCTGTCTGCTTCCCTCATCAGGCTGGGATCATTCAAAGGTCGAAGATCTGTCCTCCTATTTCCTCGACATCCTTTTCTGTCTTAGCCGTCTGTACGTCCCCTCTGTCCACCTCCCCATTCTGTTCTACTGGCCCTGAGACAACCTCTCCTGTCCTCCCATACTTAGGTCCCTTGCTTGGGCCCCAGCTCAGGGAGGAGCCGGCAGCCCAAGACCCGACCTTGACTGGCAGGAGCCAGGATTAGATTAGGCTGATTGGGTTACTGGGCCACCATTCCGCTGGCGGTCCCAAATGAAATCAGCAGTGAGCTGGCTCTTTGCCCCTGCCACCCGCCAGCTCAGCTTGCTCCTGGCAACGGAGGGGAGGTGTTCCTTTCCCCATTTATTTCATTTTTTTTTAGTCGAAATCATAAGTGGCAGGAGACCTAGCAGCTGGCAAGGCGCTTAACTGAGTCACAAATGTAATTGCAGGAGTTATGGGGCCAGGGAGGAGCACGGGGCTGGGCTCTGGGGACTGTTCCTGTACTGCTTTTGGGCAAAGAGGAACAGTTGGCTGTGAAGACAAAGTCCCTTGTGGCTGCATATGTGTGAATACATAGTGACAATGGATGTGACAATGCCGGATGTCAGCATTCCCATCCACGAAAGAGATTTGACCTTGTTCCTGGAGGACGAGGAAGGCTGAGAAACGTGGGAAAAAGGGAAGAGTAGTGTTTGTCCCCTCTCATCTGTGGAAGATTCCGGAATGCACACATATGAAAAGTCCTGACTTGGGGGTCTAAACTAGACCTTCCCTAAGCTTGCCTGTTTTATGGGCTTAATCATCTTCTTTCGTTCACCTTATAGATGAGGCAGTCGGGGATTTCAGTGTGGTGATTTGCCACAAGGCATTGACATGGCTACAGATGGAACCAGAGTGAGTAGCAAATCTCTGGAGATGTCGTCAAGGGGGCAGCTCTGCCCGCAGCACCTTAGTGGAAGTGGTCTGCCTGGGTAGCTCCTCTGGGCTTTAAAGGGCCCTTGTGGGGTTGAACTAGGCCTCCTGAGTCAGGGTGTTTGGTGGAAGGGGGTTCTGGGAGGCCTGTGCCCTATACCCCAGACTCCCCTGTCCGGCTGTTCTCCACGGGGTGGCTCACAGGGTAGCGGAGACCCTGATCAGCCCTCCTTCCCCTATAGACATGGCCGTGCAGATGTCACTACCCCTCCCTTGATGGTGGAGAAGGCCTTTACCCCCATTTCCAGGGTGCGCTTGTCTAGAGAGGGCTGCCCCTTCATCCCTCTTCATCCCTGCCTCAGTGGACTGTGGGGCCTCAGAACATCCTCAGAGAGATTCCCCTCAACCCCTTGTAGGCTGTCCCTGTTGTCTCCTCCCACCAGGACCAAACTTTGGGAGCCTTGGTGATCTGCGGAAACCAAGAAACTGTAGTTGGGGGTCCTGTTCCCGCTTCTTTTTCCTCTTCTTGCACTGGGCTCCCTCAGAGAACCAGGCCTTCTGGGCTTCTAGGTTTAGGACTATCACTGGGGCCGATAGCTTCATCTTCTGAGCCCTGATTGGGAGAGGCTGCTGCAGGACCTGTCAGAGCACACGCCCTGCGTATAGGCTGCTACTGCTGGCTGGACAGAAGAGTATTTCTGGGTGGCCCAAGTGCAGCATGGGACGAAGAGGGCTCAGAGTGGAGAGGGAGGTGGGTCCCCGACACACAGAGGGCCTCTGCAGTCCTAGTCATGGCTTTTGTACTCCATCCTGACTATGGGAAAAACTGAAGGTTTTTAGAGGAGCTAGGCAGGTGACATGATAGTACTTGTCATTTTTAGAGGTCATAAGAGCCAAGGGGAGACAAAGATAGAGAGATTGCACAAATCCATGGGTGCCATCTTCACTGTGCTCTGTGTGACTACAACCCCTTAAGGCTATGCAGTGCTATGCCTGCCCAACCAGCCATATACAACTGCCTTGCCTGGACTAGGGAAGTTGCAGCTGGAACAGAGAGGAGAGGACAGATCTGAGAATCATTCTCTGAGCTGTGAGCGGGCAGATGTGGACCTTGGAGCTGCAGGGCTCAGCTCTCCTCAGACACATTTCTCTACCTTCAGGGTAGAAGAAGTAGTAGCAAAGCCCACTTGGAAGAAACCTTCCTGAGAATTTCCTTCCAGAGAGATGGCCTCCAGGATGGAAGATATCAGGAAGGGGCAGTATGAGGCGCCTGACACAGTTCTTCCCAGAGAAGGAGAAGTTCAGGGAAGGGGACATTGCACACAGGCAAAAAGACAGTGAGGAGGTCTTTGCCATCACTTACCCCAGGCACCTCATTCTACAGACAGGAGCACTGAGGCCCCGAGAGGGGGTGTGAGGTGGTCTAGAAAGAGTATGTGTTTTTGAATCAAACTCATCAGATCAGAATCGATATCTCACTAGCTGTGCAATCTCAGGCAAATGGCTTGGCATCTATGCACTTCAGCTTCTTCTTTAGTAAAATGGGGTGACACTCATTGCTCTAGGTTGCCTGATGAGCTAGATGTTTAGTAATCTCATTTCAATATTCCAGGCTGGATTTTGTCTCCAAAGGAGTGCAGAAGGGCAGGGCTTCCCTCCAACTTAGAGCCACGGATCTGAGTAGGTGTACCGAGCCCCATGAGCCCAGGTGTGGTGGTGGCCAGTGCTCATATAGTGAACCTTCAGGTGTGAGAGCGGAGGGGCATGTTGAGGCTGAGCTGGGGGGTCCAGCCACCCCTCAGGCCCCACAGAATGTTCTCCACTGCCACCTGCTGGGCATCTGCCTCAGCTTTATTATGCAAGGCTTCTAGGGCCCTTGGCTTGCCTAGGTTGGGTGGTGACCACTGATTAAATCCCATCTTGGGCCCTCGAGGCCACACATCCATTCTTGCTGGCACTGAGATTGGCTGCCAATTGTTTTCCAGTGGGGATGGGGGAGGCTGGGGTTACCTGCGTCTCTGGACTCTCCAGCCTGACCCTATTGGGCCCCCATCTCGGGGCATTGGGAAGCTTGGCATTTCATGGGGTAGAGTCAAGTGGGCAGGAGAGACCTTGGGACAAGGACAGACTGGGAAAGGGGCTCCCCTTATCTGATGAGCTCTAAGAATGATAGTTGAACCTGTGGATGTGTGAGGCTTTCCCAGCGCCCCAGGAGTGAGATTTCCAGCCCAAAGCACTAGTTCAAACTCCAGTTGTCAATTTTTGGCTGGGTGACCTTATTAGCCTTGTCACATAACAAAGTCGGGTTGAAACTGCCAAGGACCCTGTCCTCTGTACTTTGGGCCTCCAAACCCCCGAAGGGACTGATATGCAGCAGGTGTCCCATGGACACAGCTATGGGAGCAGATGAGTGAAGCATCAGGCAGCTGAGTCTCCGACTGCCTATCCCCCTCCCCCACCCCACCCACTGGGAACTCTCACCAATCACATAGTCGCCGAAGCCTACGGTGCTGAGGGTGACGAAGGCAAAGTAGAAGCCCTCCGTGTAGTTCCAGCCCTCCATGTGGGAGAAGAGCAGTGGGGGCAGCAGCAGGAAGAGCAGGAGGCCCGAGAGGAGGGCGCTGGAGCTTGCCAGCCAGCGAGCTTTGACTGGGTCCTGTGGGTACGCACAGCGCTCAGCTCCCATGTGGCCCCTGCCCAGTGCAGGGGTTGGGAGCAGGCAGGCTGAGGGTACTGAGCTGCAGGCAGTAAGGAGGGGGCCACCCTTGGGGCCTCTCCAGGTGCCTCGTGCCCTTCTTGTTGGCCAGGTACCCATGCATCTCCCCCACTGATGCCCTTCATTACTAAAATCTTCCTTTCTGGGCAGTGACCCCCAATCCTACCACATCCCCACCAGTAACCCCAATTCACAGAAGTAGCTCCTGCTCCCACCAGTGACTCTCCCACTCCGGGTCCCCCATTCCCACCACAACTGTCCTTTTTTATTAAACACTCTCACTGAGGGCAGTGACTGCCCTCACCATCACTGGCCCTGATTGCCAGCAGGACTCCTCATTCCACAAAGGACCTACTGTTCCTCCATTCTCGTGGCCCCTCACCTGCCAGGCACCCCCCAGCCTGCGGGTGCAGCTGTGCACACCCTGCTCCATGAGGTGCCCCAGGTGGTTGAGCACGAAGAGGTTGAGCGGGATCCCCACCAGAGCAAAGAAGATGCAGAAGAGGCGGGCAGCTATCGTGCGGGGGCTCAGGTTGCCATAGCCTGAGAGAAGACAGGAATGCTTCAGGAGACCTTTCAATCCCTGGGCCCACCATTCCTAACCAACTCTAGATGGGGGGCCCTATATATCCATTCCCTCCTTCCAGATGGGAGTTATGCCCCATATTTTACAGATTGGAAAACCGAAGCTCTGGGAGGGCCGGCAGTGTGAGTGAGCACAAACGCACAAAGCGTGAGTCCTGTCTTTTCTCTCTTCACTTCCTCCCTCTCTTGGTGGGCAATAGGATGGGGAACAGGGGCCTGTGAGGCTTTGGAGCCTCCAGTCACTGCACCTCTGGGATCTACTGCACCATTCAAGCTGAGATCTGTCTCCAGGCAGCTCCCAGCCCACAGCTGGGCACCAAATTTGGGCCACCCCTGTCTGATGCAGCATCCCTCTAAAAGACCTTTCCAAGCCTCTGTTCCCTCGTCTGTAAAATGGGGATGTTGATATTCATCTCAAGGCGTGGCGTGGGAATGAAAGGAGGCAAGGAAGATGTGCTGTAGGTGGGAATGTGAGCTCTCAAGCATCTAGTGTACAGGGGGTGCTAAATAAATGTTTGTTGCATGAATGAATGGATGACTGATGGAACTCCACTGAACAAGCTTCTGGTCTGAGGACATCAGAGGCTTCCTCTAGAGCCCCACCCATCTTCTCCTCTTGGCCTTTATAGGTTCCTTCTCTAAAGGCAGAAAGTCTCTTCACTGTTGGCATCATGAAGACATAAGCTTCTTGGTAAACCTCTCTGCTTGCTTCCTCACCAACCCCTTCTCCTCCAGCTGTGCCCCACGCCCCCCGCCTCAACCCCGAGTCCAAAGACTCTCTGTCCCTGGGGGTCTTTTCATTCAGTTCTAACCTGTGGGATGGTAGCACTTAGATTATAGATTTGGGAGGACCCCTGTGAAGGCATTTGCCTTTCCAAAGCTGACAGGAAATGGATGTTTCTCCTTCCCATTATTCTCGGTTAGTCCTCAGGTCAGCAGAATCAGTAGATATCAGTGAAGCCCTCACCTACCTGTTGAGTGCTCCATTTAAGCCTCCTCTCACTTTAGCATTTCTCCTACCTGTCACCTCTTTCACTTTCCTAGTCCAGCCCTAGGACACTTTGCTAGGGTCCTCTGTGGTGGGGCTCCCTTGCACCTTCTCTGAAATCAGTCCTCAGTTTCAACCCTCTCAGCTACCTGGTCCTCCTTACTGTTTGCCAAACATACCAGCCACACTCTTCCTCAGGGCCTTTGTATGTGCTAGTGGAAGGTTTCCCAGTTACCTGCATGGCTTGCTCCCTTATTCTGTTCATGTCTCTGCTTCAGTGTTATCATATCAGTGAGGCCTTCAATGATCACCCCATCTACAGTGGCCCCCTCATCACTATCAGACTCCCTTACATGGCTTTATTTTTCTCTAAGCACCTCTCATAATCTGAATACTGTCTGTGTATCTGTTAGTTTGTTATGTGTTCCCTCACAGTAGAATGTCAGCCCCCCATGGGCAGGGACTTGCCAGCTTTGCTCACCATTGTGTATCTTCAGCACCTAGAACTACTGGCCCATACTAGATACTCAGTCTTTTTGTTAAATGAATGGATGGATAGATGAGTGAACAAATGAGCAAGCCAGGGATGGAGTTTATAGATAAAGAATGATTTTGGGGCTTAGACCTGTCCTGTTGGTCCAGAAGTGTTCATGTGCCTGACAGACCCCATTTCATTTTAGGGCTTGGAAAGTACAGCCCTCACAGGGTGCTGGTCCTGAGGTACTGGAAAGAGCAGACAAATTCCACCTCTGCTGATTACTAGCTATGTGACCCTGAGGACGTCATACGACTTCTCTGTGCCTCAGTTTCCTCATCTGTGGGATGAAAATAATAAGTTCTATCCTCGGAGGTTAGACTGTATGGACAAAATGAGCTCTCATACTGCCTGGTACAAGTAGACCATGCATGTAGGCTGGGGCGGGGTCCCCCTCCCTTGGCCCTCTTCCCCCTCAGAGCTGGCTCAGACAGCTTTAGGGCAGAACTGAGTGGTGAGGAAGGAACAGGGAAATAGTCCAGGCTAGGAATCGTACTTCTGGGAATAGACAGTCTGTGAAACTCTGAATTTGGAGGACCAAAGTCATGAGTTGGGGGCAGAGGGTGTAGGAAGTGTGGGGTTCAGAGACTAAAGATCCTCACACATCTGGAAGGCCTGGCCCACAGTGACTGTACATCAATATCCCCTCTTGCCCCAAAGCTCAATAAACGCTGGTGGAATGGGTATTTTTTGGAATTCATTACTGTGTCGGCGTTTGTTGAATACCTGCTGTATGCTTGGCCTTGTACCAGATCCAAGGGTTATAAAGATTGATAAACACCATCCTGGCCAGTCATTCCAGGGCACATGATCCATGGAGTCTGAGGGGCCTCCCAAGCATGCTTGCCTCAAGGGGAGGACCGTCCAAGCTCCCGTGTAGCTCCGAGACCTGCTTCCAAGAAGTACTGGCTGATTTGAAGCTAGATAGAGAGTCCTTTGGGTGCTCCTGTCTGCTCCATTCTTGGAGAACAGAGGCTGGTTTCTTGGGGAGAGGATCCCGGTTGGCCAAGAGCGGGTGGAGGTAGTATAAGCCACCAGTGATGTCAGCCTGCCACCTGGTGGTAAGTCCAGTGTCATGCAGGAACCGGGGCCTGGCGCAGGGCTGGGGGTGGGGCCGCCTGACTTATTTCCTGGATCTCGGAGCTGGAGGGATCTAGGCTGCTTCTCTCCTTCCCCACGCAACAGCCTCTAGGACAAGTTTCACTCTGCTCTTAGGAGGACAGGGTTAGAAAAACGGGAGGGTCCTGTGTGTGAGGAAAGAAGGGGGCTTGGAGAGGACAGTGATGGGGGTAAGGGAGTACTTAAGTGAGCTGAGGAGAGGCCTCTAGGAATGGCCACTTCTCCCCAAAGGCTGAGAACAGGGGATCGAAAAGTTATTTTTGGATTTCTACTTGTCCCTTCTTTGCCTCCTCTCCCTTCTTCCCTCCCCATCCTTCCCCGTCCCGCGCCCCTGGACTCAGTGTTGGGTGAACTTGGCTGAGGAGACCGAGACTGAGACACTTACAGGGCTCAGAGCATCTTTACTGCTGCACAGGGGAGATCCTCTGCTTCCTGAGAATTTGTGTGACACAGAAGTTCCCTAGAGCAGTGCTTCTCAAACTCGAACTTGCACACAAATTCCTAGGGACCTTGGTGAAAGGCAGAAATTGATACAGCAAATCTGCAATGAGCCTGAGATTCTGCCCCAGGTAGTGCCCACACTGCAGGGATTGACTACCCTTGGAGTCTCGAGGCCCTAGTAATCCCTCCAAAAGGCACTGGTCCCCTGACCCTTAGCAGGAGGCCACCTTCTCCAGCCCTGCCAACTTGGCCTCATCCCGCTCTTACCAATGGTGGTGATGGTGGACACAGAAAAGAAGAAGGAACCCATGAGTTCCCAGCGCTCCATGCTGGTGATGTTGTTGAGGACGATGGTCCCACTTTGGTATGCTTGGATGATGCCCTAGGGGAGAGGCTGCAATGACCACCAGATTCCACTGGGTGACTAGGCTCTTGCACCCAAACCCACATACATGAGAAGGTGCACACACACGTACACACATACACACACACACACAAATACTCATGGACAATCCTCACAACCACTCTTTGAGCCCAGCTTGTCCTGGGCCAGGAGACTTTTCCGCTTCAACCAGGGGCTCCCCAGGGGCAGGCAGCAGGTGGGACAGCTCCCTCCACTTCTCTTTACCCTAGAGCCCAAGTCAGCCCAAGATATCTCACTGGATAGAGGGACACCATTTATTTTCTTCTCTGCTCACTTCCATTCTTGCCACAAGCACTAACCAGGCATGGCATGTGGTGTTTTAGGGGACACGAAGATTAAAGAGACATGACCTTGGTCCTCAGCGAGACCGAGACAGACTTAACTCTAATGTAGTGCCATCAATGCACCTTCAGGCATTAAGGCAGTGAAGCTGCATGATCCTGGGCAAGATATTCAATTTCTCTGTGCCTCAGTTTCCTTATCTGCAAAATGGGAAGACCAATAGCACCTACTTCACAGAGTTGTTGTGAGGGTTAAATGACATCTTAGGTGTGAAGACTTAGAACTTTGCCTGGACATGGTAAATGTTAGTGGTTGCTGTCATCATTATTGTTATGAATATAATGCTGTAGGAATACAGAGAGGAAAGGTGTTCATTCTGACTGGGAGGGGGCAAAGGCTTTATGGATGGGGTAATGTTTAGTTGGAACTTCCTTGAACTTCCAGATAGGATTGCTCCCAGTGGAAGGACAGTTAGGTAGATGGCAGGCAGTACTGCACCTGTGATCTTGAACAGGGAGGCTGAAAGGTTGTTTGGAGTCAGGCCACGCTTGGCTCTGCCGTGTCAGGGATGGAGCAGAAGGCCTCTTCCAAGGCCACTGAGCAAAGGAGAGGCAAGATCGGGTTGTGTGCTCTGCTACAAATGGTAGGGTAGAAGATGTTGGCAGCTGGGAGAGAAAAAAACTCCTACAGGAGTGAGTGATGGACAGGGCTTGGCTTGCATGCTGGTACAGGGTGGAGACATTCAGAAGCCTATGTGGTGTGGTTAGTGAGGGAAGCATCTAAGACCACTGTGAGCATGTATAGATGTGAGGCCAGGGGCAGAGACTTAGAATAGGTGGAAGAGGAGGGCTGGGAGGAGAAGGGCAGCCTGCTCTTGACCTTGGGGAATTCAAGGGCTGCTAGAAAGTTGCATGTACATGACTACACTCAGCAGGGAGATCTGGCTTGGAGACACCATATCCTTTTTTTGAGGATGAAGCCACAGGGGAGTTGAGTGAGGTGTGAAGGGATTGGAACAGGAGGGCAAGTGTTCAGAGAGAAAACCCCGCCGGGACCCTCGGGAAACACCCACACCCACAGATCCACACTGAGGCAGTAGTCATGGTGGTTCGTAGACCCAGTAACCTGGCTATGTAGCCATGTATTTGAATTCAATCTCTCTGAGCCTCCGTTTCTTTATCTCTAAAATGGGGATGATAATGCTTCCTCTCCTCCACACGCCTCACTGTCCCATCTTCTGAGCCGTCTCTGTCCTCAGGGACCTTGATATCCTCCCGGCCACTGCCCCCTTCGGCCCCTCCGTGTCTCTGCGGCTGGGGCGGCGCGCCTATTCCCTGTGACCAAAAACTCAGAGTAACGAGGGGTCAGCTAAAGAGCGCCCTTGCGTCCGCCCCTGCTTCTCTCGGACCCGGGCCTGCGCACTTGGAGAGCCCGGACGCTGGCATATGAATCTCTGCCCCTATTCCGCCCACCACCAGGACAAGCGATCCCTGCGCCCCTTTCTCCCCAGACGCTGACAGTCGTGCCCTGGGTCTTGCTCATTCTTAAGCACCGCCCAGTGACCCCTGCCGCCCTCGCTCCCTATTCACATATTTGCACCCAGGGTTCCTTTAAGGAAGGGGTCAGGCGTGCCCTTTCGTCCTTTGCCCGCGGTCTGATCCGGACACAGCGCCGTGACTTCCCAGTTCGACTCCTTCCCTGTCACTACCCAAGCCAGCTAAGCGCTCCTTGCCCCTGTTCTGACCCGACCGGGTCGCCCCTGGCAGCTCCTGACTCGGGTAAGCGCGCCCCCTGTCGTCCTCATGCCCGAATTCGCATGTTTGCCCCACGCAACCCTCGCGCCCCTAAAAGGGCGACTCGTAGAGCCGCGCTGAGCATCTCGGTCGCTGAAACCCTTTCCCTGGCTGTCCAGCCCAACACTCTCGTCCTCCACCCCGCCACGCTCTCCCTCCCATCGTCCCCGCGTCTGTCTCCTGCACCTCTCTATTGGGGATGTGCTCCCGGCATTTCCCTGTCGGGAACAAGCGCTTCCCTACCCCGGAACTCCCCGCCGCGCCCAGGCGGGCCCCGTTCGCCCCTGACCCGGATCAGCGAGTCCAGCGCCGGGCCGTCCAGACACGTGAAGTTTCTCAGCAGCGCCCACTTTTCGCGCTGGAATCTCTCGCTGGAATCCTGTGCCGCGGGGCCCTCCAATACGCAGAACACGCCGGTGCCCAGAGCCAGGTAAGCCAAGTAGGCGAGTAGCAGTAGCACGGTGCCCGGCACCGCGCAGCTCCGAGCTCTGCCCTCCGGCACCGCCTGGGCTCGCGGTCTGCACATAGCGGAACAGGCAGGGAGGCGGGGGCCTGGAGCCACGGACCAGGACTAAGACAGAAAGGAAGGGCTGGGAGCTCAGTTGGTCCCTTCTCTAGCCAACGGCTGCCTGTGCCCAGTTTTCTCAGCAGAGGAGGCTTGCTGGACAGCCGTGCCCCACCCCGCACCGGGATCCAATCCCAGGGACAAAAAGAGGCCCTGAGCCGTGGGCATCTGGCCCCGCCTCAAATGTGTATGGAGTGCTCCCATCTTCCCCCGCCCCAGGCCTAGCTTGGAGAGAAGGGGAGGGCTGCTGGTTGACAGCAGATGCTGAGAAGGAAGAGGCCCAGAGCCCTTAGTGTCCTGTGGCAAACAATGGGAGGGACTCCTGGAGACCACATTCATGGGGAAAGGAAAGTAGAAACCAAGTTTATTGTCATAGGACCCCGGCCTAAGTTCTTGGACCCTGGGACTATCTCCAAGTACTTGTTGCCTGTCAAGTCTTCCCTGGATCTTTCACACCATCATCCTTTACTTTGTATACCCAAAGAGGAGGACTCCAGATGATCACCACTTGTCCATGATCTTGACCAGTTGGCTTGTCCATTCCCTGCTTCTGAAGAGGCTCCTAACTCCCTCCTTCTACCCAGAATGGAGGAAGGGTACTGAGTAGGTAAAGTGTCCGTGGGGGTCCTCAGCTTCTCAGGGCTCTCTTCCACATCAGGAAGTCCTGAAATGTAACCTATGTCTCCTGCTACTGAAGACCCTCGCCACCTAGAGCCCTCTCTGCTTCACAGCCTTACCTTAGTCCTGTCCAGAGGTCCCCGGCCATGTATGGGACTGCCTTGCTGCTCGGGTGCTGGGAGAGGTAAGGGCCAAGAAGCTGGGCCTTGGGATGGACTGGCTTAAATATTTCCTTGCCTTCTGACCCGAGATGTCAGAATGTGTTAGGAGAAAGGCCAGAGCAGCAGAGCTTGTTCCCAAGGGAGGCCAGGCCTCCATGGAGCTCATTTTCCTGGAAGTCTCCTGGGATCTGCTGGCTCTCCATTTTCCCAAGAAAACATGTGTTTGGAAAGGCTCTTAAGATAGGAGCCCAGAGGGCATGATGGGGTCAAGGGGAACCCTGGGTGAGGTCAGGGGAGGCCGTGCCCAGGAAGGTAGATGGGATACCCACGATCTCCTAAGCCTTCCTCACGGACAACTCTAGACCTCTAGGCAGGGGCAACTGGCAGGCTTTGAGAGGCAGCTTACCCGCCCCTCAGTGTAGCTTCCTGAGGGCAGATATTCCGTTCGCACTAAGATGCTCCAAAGTCTCTGTCCCTCTCCTTGACCCTCCTTGTCAGCCATTCCCATGGACTCTTATCATACCCTGGTCTGCTCTCGTCATAGCGTTTTGGGCACCAGGTTGGGGCCTTTCTACTTGGCTAGATGCACATGGAAGGCAGGAACTTTCCTTGTTGTAGTCCCAGAGCCTGGCATAGTGTCTGACACATAGCGGGGGCCAGACCATTGCACATTGTGCACGTGTCCAGTGAGGCAAAAGTAAAGTCACTCTTTGTTTGGCTGTCATATATGAGGTTTCCTGGGAAGGGGGTTGTACGGAGGGCAATGGGATTCGGTCACAGTGATCCATGTCTGGTTACTTTTGATGGGGAAAAGGGTAAGGGCTCTGGGACAACGGTGCACATCTCACTCCACATGCATCCGTCTCCAATTCTGTCTCTATGTCTCCTTTCTTGGATACTCCTGCCTCTTTTCTCTCTCCAGAGCGCTCTTGAGACCAGCCGTGGCTGGGAAATGAGTAGATTGGGAGAAGAGCAGGTGGGAAATCTAGAGGCATGTGGGCTGGGATGAGGAAGCTGGGAAGGGCTCCTGGGGCCACTGGGGGGCCTCATGCAGAGATGGGGATCTTCTGAGGTCTGGGGAGTCCATTGGTCTCTGGGGCTCCCCTTACCTTGAGGCCAAGGCCTCTGCTGAGCAGCCAGAGCTGGGAGCATCTCTGCAGAAGAAGGGGGCCTAATGGGAGGATCAGCGCCAGCCATGCCAGGCCCAGGAGGATCCAGATGGCTGCCAGGCTCCGGTACACCAAGATGTAATGCTTGCTGGGGTCTGTGCCTGGCAGGGAAGGGAGGCGTGATGAATGCCAGGGGTCTGAGGATACAGCCATACCCCAGGTTCCATAGGGGCCCCTCCAGCCTCCTCATAACAAGGATCAGCAATGGAGGTCCCTGGGATAAGGGTGAAAGGTTCCAGACTAGCAGCTTTTGAGGATGTGAGAATCCACACAGCCTCAGAAATCATTCGTCATCTCCAAAAAAAAACAAGGGCTATCTGATGCCCAATAATTATACCCCACCGACATCCCCCCATCCTCCAATTCTGGTGTCCCCCACCCTGAGATATGTGACTGCCTAGTTCTCACCAACGACATAGTCCCCGAAGCCGATGGTGCTGAGAGTGATGAAGGCAAAGTAGAAACCCTCACTGAAGCTCCAGCCCTCCACGTAGCTGAAGACCATGGGTGGGAAGACGAGAATGACCAGCGTCCCCAAGGTCAGGAACAGAGACAGGCCCAGGATCTGAAGTAGCTGGAGGGAGGGAGGGAGTCTGTCTCTGAGTCCAATAGGAAGGCCTTAGGATTGTATGGGGGCAGGATCTGGGGCAAATTTGAGAGTTGGGTTGGGTCATAGCTAGGTCCCTTTTCTGACCTGCAGACCTTTGTAGTGGGACTTGGATCTCCGTGTGTGTGGCATCTTGCCCAAGTCAGGGAGAGGTTATGTCAGAGGGATTGCATTAGTGGGTCAAGTCAGAATTTGGAGATTCCTTTGGACTGGGGGAATCCACTTGTACAGGTCCCCCAGGGACTCAGATCTGAGACAGCAGACTATCACCAAGCTGTCTCAGATTCCTCTGCACCCTTGTCCTTCTGGCGTGCCTGGCTTTTTAAGGGACTGGCCAATGGGCTGGGCACTGGGAGCATGCTGGGTGGCCTGGAGTTTGTTTTCAAACACAGGAAAGGATGTTGGAGTTCTGTGATGACCACTGGTATGTGCTGTGTTGACCAGCTGTCAGCAGGTGGCTTCCAGCTGTCAGCTCCTTCAGGATGTACAGCAGCTACTGCCTGCCTGGCCCAGGGCACGCCCTTCCCAGGAAGGCCACTCTAGTGCCTGATTGTGGGAGGTGTATAAAGTCCTGGTCATTTCAGCTCACCGTGGGACAAATCCAATGGCTTGTACATGCTGCAGACCTCCTCGAGGGGCTGGCCAAGTCTTTGTCCAGCCTTCATCACAATTCAACTTCTCCCTCTGCCTAATCCTTTTCTTCCACAGTTGCCTACCTAATATCTGCTTGCCAAACTCTGTCGCAGTGTCAGCTTCTGGAGGACTCAACCTGCAATAGGTTCTGTCATGGCAGGGCTGTGGGAGGAGGGTCCCTACCTGGGAGCGCCTGGGCTGGTCTTCCCACCTCTCAAGGGTGGTCAGGTGGCCACAGAGCCATGTGCCCAGGCGGTTGAGGAAGACCACGTTGAGTGGGATGCCCACCAGGGCATAGAAGACACAGAAGACCTGGCCTGCCTCGGTGCTGGGTGCCAGGTTCCCATATCCTGCAGAGGAGGAATGTGCAAATGTGGGAAGAGAAGGTTCAGAACTTCCTTTCCCATAGACTGTTCTTCCACCACCTCTGTGGGGAGGAGGGGAAGCTCCCTTGTTCTCATGAACACTCTTCCCATTCTCTGCTAGAATGATCTCTATGTTTAAGAATCCTGCTGTCTTTTTAAAGGCTCATCTCAAATGACGCTGCCTCTAGGAGGCGCTCTTGAGTGCAGCCCTCTTCCTCTTTTCTAGATGTGGTTCCCCATAGTGCTCTGTGTCGTTCCTACCTAATTATTTACTTTGCCTCATACTATTGTTTTTGATGTGTTTATCATTGATTGGATCAGATGTTCCTTGAGGGCCAAGTTTGGGTCCGATCTAAGTTTGTACGTATTCCCCTACCCTGACTTCCTCCTCTGCCTTGCATGTCACCTGAGCTCAAGGAAGATGTTGGACTTAATTGGACTTAATTGGTCGAATGGGGGAGACTGGGGTTAGTAGGGGTCTGGTGGTTTCCTTGTGGGAGGTAGAGTGGGTTTTCTGGCTAAGGGGCACAGCAGACATTGTCAGTGTCCCTTGGAACACCCGGGGTATCACATGAAGCTTTGTGGACAGTTCCTGTATACGCAGATGACCTCCCACCCCAAGTCCCTGTATCACTCTCTACCTGAGAGGTTTTCTCTGGCCGCGGGAATGCCCTTCGTCTGTGGGCAGGTCCAAAATACTGGAGAGTTAATACCTCCAGGGTTAGCTTGTAACCAGCCAGGGAAGGAGTTGGTAGAAAAACACCCCTGCTTTCTTGTCCCTTGAGGGGCCTGTTCTAAGGATGGGTTCTAAGGAAGCCTCTCAGAGGGTTCCCAGCAGGACTGAGCCCAGTCGCCCTACCCAGTAACCTGCTGCTTGATGCATACTTTGTTGCCTTTTCTCCCTTTTCTGTTTCACTTTCTCATGTCTCTACTTGTACTTCCTGGAATTGTCTCCTAGATAAACCATATCCTTCTCTCGGCACCTGCTGTTGAAGAACCCAAACCAAGATGGCTGTGGGGAAGCCCTTTCTTCACCAGCCCTTTACCTATGGTGGTGACGACTGTGCCCGCAAAGAAGAAACTGCTGCCGAAGTTCCAGTTGCTGGGGTTGGTGGAGTTGCCTTTGGGGTTTACGCCCTTCATCCGAGCTTCCAGGATGACCTGTGGGGTGGGAGGAAGAAGGACTTGATGGCACCAGCTGTTGGATAAGCTCCAAACAAGATGCTTTTTTGTTAAGAATGATATTCTTAGATAGTCTCATTTCCATCTCGTGGAAAAGGACACTAGGCTCCGAGTGGCTACGTGATTTGCCCAAGGTCATTGGATTTCAAACCCACTGCCTGGTCCACTATCCAGGGCTGACTGATGTGTGGGCTCTAAGCTTTGGCTGGTGGAAAGGAATGGACCT